GTATGGCTTTAGAAGAGGGCCGTTCTGCAGATTTCGCTTTTCTCAAGCTCAATTGCTGCAATCAGCGGGACGCATAAGTCCGGGTAATAACTGGAATTTTTGTCTCTACTACGTTTATTGTGCTTAAAGGCAGTGTCTCGGCAAAAACTCGATTTTGAAATTTTGTGCTTATACGGGCCTATTCGCTGAATCCGAAAATCCACATTGGAAAGCGCGAAAACGGCGAAAAAGGGCTCTAATATAGGAGGGAAATCAGCAGGTGGGCGGGGCTTTCCCCAGTGCGATTTCACGCTCCCAGCTCCCGGAGCGATTTTCTCGATTCCGCTAGCCGTTCTAACATCGCTATCGGCCAAGTGCGGATGAGTGACTTGGAAGCGGAAACGAGAAGGTCGCTCCGGAAACCGGGAACGAGAATTAGCAGTGGGGAGGACCCCGCCCACCTGCTCATTTCCCTCCTATGTTAGAGCCGTTTTTCGCCATTTTCGCGCTCTACAATGTGCATTTTCGGATTCAGCGTAGTGAAAAGGCCCAAGTAAGCACAAAATCTCAAAATCGAGATTTTGCCCGGACACTGCCTTTAAAGACAGCGTGCACCCAAAATTTCGTCTTCCATGTTTTCATTGTTATCGCGCCCTTCCATGGCGCTGATTATTATTTACCAGTGCGTCACCTCTGCTTCGCGGAGGCTCGCACTGACCCTACTTTCTGTGTGCCTTAATCATTCCACCATAATAATGACATTGAAACTCACCGCGCTACGTAGGCTATCACGAATGATTCGTAAACATTCCTAGAGGCTTTTCGTGTGATATCGGTATTTTCACGTTGATGAGATTTTTCCCAGAAGAACAGATAAAAATTTGTGTAAGTTTTTGAATTTTTATGGCTTGGCAGTTGCCATAAGGACAATGAACATCGTGGGCTACATCTCTGTGCAAGAATCTTCTCAGATGATTAGGTAAACTCTTGGCAAAATTAACATTTACACAACTAACTCTTTTTGGCGCCATTTTCGTAAAGTAGCCAACTTTAGTTCAGTTTTCTGGGCTAAAGTCCTTGGCATCCACATTAGCTTGTCAAACATACCATGACATCGCGAAAAATGGTGGTACAGGCCCAATTTTGCTGATCAGAAGCTAGGTGGATCCGTTTGACGCGCAATGTTTGACAGATCCACTCAACGGATCCGCTTGTGCTTTTGCATAATGAACTTTCATGATGTTAGCTTGCGCCATGCAAAATTTGGGCTCAAGAGATTAGAAGTGGAACTCGCTCTACAAATACCGTAGCGGACAGACACACAAAAAAACGTAAACAATCTTAGCCCGTTATTATAAGTCACTAGCTGATGTACCCGGTCTTGCCCGGCTATTTCAGTAAACAGCCTTGTTTTGCTGTACAGGTTCAAGACTTTTCTGTGGTGTTTCCGACCATTGTAAGGCATAGTAAAGGTTCTTGTCGGCAAAAGAGAAAGCACTTTTAGATGTGCAAGTGCGAATGCAGCGCGTGCGTGCTTTCATCGCTGTAAACATTGTGCTTCATTCGCTTTGCGATTAACAAAACCGAGTTCCGCTCCCTAGATTCACTTTCGCCTGGCATTAGCCTTGAGCAAATCAACGTCAACTTGTTTCATTGACTGAATTGTGAACGTCCTCTGGCAAGCTGATCAATCAGTGCGATCACAATATAAACTTTATTCTTAATAGCGTACGAAAAGAGATGTATCAATGAATTATGGAGGATGTGTGATTGAGGAGTCAGCACTATTGCTGCTGAGTTCTACATCACTTTAAAAATTTGTGTATAGACTTGTGGATTTGGGATCTTTTTGCATTCTTCATAGCTCTTGCGCAACTCTTGAAAATTTGGATTCAAGCCAGGTCTGATTTAGTGGTATACCTACCTTTTTATTGAATCTAGACAACTCGACCCAAAGCGCTTTGATATACAATGTTCTTGGTCTTTCCGTCGGGTGCGTATATGTACAAGATTATTTACAAGAACGTTTCATTTTGACATGTTTTTATAACGTAACGGTTATCTATTTCATGCCGCAAACCACTTCATTCTCCGAGTATAACACCTGCTTTGCGGTACGGTGGCAAACTGTCGTTTCTACTTGCTTAGTCAGTAACTCAATAAATGCGAGCTGCAAGTCTTCTATCACATTTAGCATGGCAGAAAGGCGGATTGAAGATTGCGAGCGCAGTTGATCACTAAACTAACGCTCACCTCACATTTCAGTGACTAATCCATTGACGTATTCTATTCGTCGCAGGTAAAAAGCAAAAGCTATCTTTTCTCCTTTCCCATATTTCTTGGAAAAGTTCCTCCGTTTACCCACCAATCCTCGCTGTCGCAATCGCATAAGATCAAGTACAGGGCAGGGCTCGAATATGCTTTCTAATCACTTCCAATCAATTGAGGCTACGCCTTTCCCACGCCTATCTTGGGAAGTGATCAGAAAGCATGTGTCGGAAGAGACGCAGCCATGGAAATGCTTATGCACCCAACATTGTGGTTGATAGCCCCCTGTATGTTTGCGACAATGAAAAGGTACGAAACGGTCACAGTAGTATGCGAGTTGATAAGTTTGCATGTACCATACTTGTATACATCGAACTCAGAACTTACTTCAGTAAGCTTCTCTTAACCGGGCTTCCTTGTCAGAGAACCAAAATGAGACCTATTTTGTTTACTGGAATGTAAATGATCTGCCTGGTTGATAAAGTTCATTTTCATTGCAAACGGTTAAAAATCAATAAATCGATAGAAGGGTCCAGTGAATTGCCGCGAAAAGTAGCCCTAAACCACCGCCGGGGTAGAAAACATATGTGTGCGAAGTTTCAGCTCAATTGTTCAATGGCTGGCCTTTCTATAAGGCACTAACAACCTAACGAACATCCTCACAGACATTGAGTTTTATATATATAGATGACTAGCTGATCTGCCCGGTCCAGCCCGGAAATGATCACTGATCGGGAATGAAGATAAGGTATTCGGTGGCATTGTAGAAACTGTGTAAAGAACAAAAACAAAATGTGAACACTTATTAGTCGGTAGCATATCTCTCTTTCTCCAAATCAAGTTCAACACGCAAAACCTAAGCAAGCAGCGCGAGTTAATTGATAGCAGCGCTCATTGTTATTATGAGGATCATTTTTTGTGACACTTTGCCGTTAACCGGCTACTTCATCTTCATTCACTGCTTGCCGTCAATTTTTGTGGAGTCGGCAGTACTTTGCACTCGCGCACTTTCCTGGTCCCAGGGATCAACTATAGCGAATGTGAGTTGTCGCTTGTCTTGACATTATTTCTGGTATTAACAATATTTTTGCGCAATCTCATGAAAAATTTTGACCCCTCATTGTTTAAATTGAGCATGTAACGAAGAAAGCATTGATTATAAGCGTAAATTGAGAACGCTTCCATACAAAACACTCGCTACAAAGCACTCATGGTCTCTTGCACGCTAAGGTTTCCGCATAAGATACATTTAGTGCATCCATTTAAAAGCAATTGAGACTCACATCAAGAACACTTTTCACTGCACTTCGTCAACAGAAGTTCACAATGAGACATGCCAGCCTTGTTTACATACCCCTGTTTTGATAGCAAATGATAAGAATCATTTTTATTGCAAAGTGCTGCAAATCAATTAATCGATAGAAGGACCCAACGAATCGCTGCAAAAAGTAGCCTATCATCTGCGCAGGGCTCGAAAACATATGTGTGTAAAGTTTCAGCTTAATCGGTTGAGCGGCGCGCGTTTCTATAACGCACATACCCTCCAAACTGACAATTTTTGAGTTTTATATATATAGATATAGATTTCAGGGGCGGTATGCATCAATCTCCCGTTTTGAAAGCGGGCGATCATTTTCGAGCGATAGTTCATACATCAAGAATCGGGCGGCCAAGCTGGCCGGGCAATCATTTTCTACTGAAAATACTCGCCGCTTTCAAAACGGAGATTGATGCATACCTCCCCAGGTCTGTTATCTCCTTTTGTATGCAACATTATGGAACCCACTAACTCGGTTGGTCTACTTTTGGGGCCCACTCGTAGGATAAGTAGTAATTTGGGGTGAATAGATTTTGGGTGGACGCTGCTTTACAGGCAAAATGGAACTTTCTCGGTTTTTGGTGGAGTTAGGTAGCACCGGCCCCGCCCACTTCCATTGACTGGGTGGGCCGGTGGAGTTTCGAAGCGATCTTTCAGGACTTAGTGCATGAATTGACAGGTGGGTTTGGGCTACAGTGTACCTGGGAGGCTGCTGCCTGAATCCACCAAAATCTCCACTGTCTTTAAAGTCAAACGAGTTGTAGGCAGCAATCGTCCGACGCTGCCCTTGTCGTAGCCGACGCTATCATATTGTGTTGCCCGATGTTTTGTACTGATGTTATTCTACGCTTTCTTAACCCATTCGCAGGACAGTGTTACAAAAGACGCTGCCGGCTGGCAGCTTTTCGAACCAGTACAAATCTGGCTCGTTTCCTTTCGAAACAGTCGAAGTTGAAGAACGCGGCGTTCTTCACGGTGTCTGCAAAAGTATAAGCCGAAGCCGGCATTGAATAAAGAAATTGTGTAAACCGTATTTAACAAAAGCACGGTAAAAAAATAAAACCACTAAACCCCAGCACAGTAATTAGAAAGTCGCTCTGTGTAATTTCGTTGAGTTTTATTCGCAAGTCTGTGCCACCAGTGGAAAAGCCTTCTTTTTAACAGTACAGGTTTTCCCGTATCTTCTTTGCCCTTTTTGATGTTTGATCATAATGGTAGAAACTTCCACCCTTGTTTTACATCTTGAATGCGGCCCTAAAGGAAAAGGGCTGCTCGCTGAAGTTGAGGCGATTGAGTGTTTATTGAAAACAACCACCCACGACATGACCGTATACAGCATTGGTTTCACCGATGAAGAGGTACTCCGAATGTTTTTGAAAAACCTTCACTAATCATTACACCTACAAAGTGTGGCAGGGCATTTCATTTGACTTCTCACTCATTCGGATAGGTAATGGTAAAAGAAAGTAAGAGTCTTTGTAAAAAGTTATTTCGGACTGCACATGATGTTCACGCAGATTCTGATGAGGAGGGAAGCGATGCTGTTGCATGGCTTCACATAAATCCAGGATCAATTCAAAATAACTTTGTGTATGATTCTAAAAGTTTTTCCTGCAATAAATCACAGCTGTTTCAGTGCATACCAAGACAGCTTCACATCCTATATCCGCGCTGGCTCTCGATACATTGAGTTTCATGGTCTTGAGAACGATAATACATCGTGCTGCCACATAAGGATAAAAAATATCTCGGATAAGGTAGGTGTGTTCCCCTTCCGCCCTTAAAAACTGGGATATATATATATCTCTCCTCGATGGTTGTGGAAAGACATGTACATGGGGCGAGCGCAGTTTTTAGAGGATTGCCAAGCATGTTTTCTGGAAAAAAAGCAAAGGAGATATGGGATGCGCGACGGGTATTGAGCTAAGCTGGCTTCAGATAATCTCACCAGTTTGCAAACAAATAAAGACAGAGCCATCGTATAAGTGCAGCAACACTCTCGCACAGGGTAGGATATTGATATGCCCAAAATGTACAAATCTCTTGTTTACAGAGAACAGCCAAGGTGATTGATTATAGGTGAGCTGGAGGAAAGACAAACTATGCTTGAACAATTATCTTCCATTGATATGACTTTGTCTTCCTATCCATTCAGTGTGCTCACGTTTCACAAGCTGATCATTTTCCGGCACAAGTGGAAGTGTTAACGCACACAAGGTCCCAGCGAGCAGGATCCAAATTTGCGCGGGAGAGCTTTATTGGCATAAACTTCATCAACCACTCGGATATTGCTGGTTTTTTGGAGAAAAGTACTGCCCTACTTCAATTTTAGTCTATTGATTGTGGCGAAAACACACGGATAGGTGAGTAGAAATTGCGCAATGTGAAAGCAAAATATCGCCAGCAGGATTATGCGCGGCATAGCCATTGAGTTGTAGTCAATTCTTTCACTGCGAAAACGGTTTTCTTTATAAATTGTCAGAACACAAAAACGCTCGCTTGAAGGTGTCTCACAAAAATTGGGGTAGTGCTGGTCACCATGTATTTCCTTAGAGGACCTTTGGATATGCGACCCCCCCCCCCAAGTTCGACTCGATCCGGGGACTTACAAGCTGAGAAATCTGCCCTCAAAGTGGCCCGCAAAGTGCAATTTAGCCCGCATGGTTTACGCTCCTGATTTCCCCTTTACGCGCTTCAACATGTCCCTCCACTTGGCGTCCACCTCCAAGCCGTTGCCGCCACTGTGGCAAAGGCTAGGCTAAGAAGGCACAACCCGTCCGCATTGCTTGCACGAGGCTCTTAAAAAACGGGGTTTTCGTAGATTTTGTGCGATTTTGAACCTGCACTGAGTTAGATGGAGAGAAAGAGGCTTGCAAAATGCAAAAATCTTGACAACCAAATTTTGGTGAGACATTGCCTTTGAGTGCACCAATAGCTGGTGGCTATGTTTGAATGAAGGAAAGATCCGAAATCGTCTTTTTATGCGTAGCACTTCCTCATTTATGAGGAAGACTGAACCTCGAAAATTGCAGGCGCAGTGCAATTAATTGATATTCAAAGACCGTACAGCTGTTGAGGTGACCAAAGTCCACTTCCATGCTCATAATACAAAAAGTAAAGCTCAAAGACTGTCTGTACACATGCACTTCTTAGCGCACATTCTGAGTAACTTTGTCGAAACACTTTATAGGCAGGAATTCAAAGCACTGGAACCACTAACGATCACCAGCTGGCAGCGATGTCCGAGAGCCGGCAGCGATGTCCGAGTGGTTAAGGAGATTGACTAGAAATCAATTGGGCTCTGCACGCACAGGTTCGAATCCTGCTCGCTGCGAATCTTTTGTCTAGAGACATCGTGCCCTTCTTAGCGCACATTCTTAGGTAACTTTGTCGAAACACTTTATAGGCAGAAATTCAAAGCTCTGGGACCACTAACGATCACCAGCTGGCAGCGATGTCCGAGTGGTTAAGGAGATTGACTAGAAATCAATTGGGCTCTGCCCGCGCAGGTTCGAATCCTGCTCGCTGCGAATCTTTTTGTGCGTAGCGGTTCCGCATTTGCGCGTAAGAATGATGCTCGAAAATCGCTGGCGCAGTATAACTAATTGATGTTTAAAGGTTGTGCAGTTGTTGAGGTGACGAAAAGTCCATATCCATGCTCATCATAGGAAAAGTAAAGCTCAAAGACTGTCTGTACACATGATGTAGTAGCCGGCAGCGATGTCCGAGTGGTTAAGGAGATTGACTAGAAATCAATTGGGCTCTGCCCGCGCAGGTTCGAATCCTGCTCGCTGCGAATCTTTTTGTGCGTAGCGGTTCCGCATTTGCGCGGAAGAATGATGCTCGAAAATCGCTGGCGCAGTATAACTAATTGATGTTTAAAGGTCGTGCAGTTGTTGAGGTGACGGAAAGTCCATATCCATGCTCATCATAGGAAAAGTAAAGCTCAAAGACTGTCTGTACAGATGATGTAGTAGCCGGCAGCGATGTCCGAGTGGTTAAGGAGATTGACTAGAAAGCAATTGGGCTCTGCCCGCGCAGGTTCGAATCCTGCTCGCTGCGAATCTTTTGTCTAGAGAACATCGTGCCCTTCTTAGCGCACATTCTTAGGTAACTTTGTCGAAACACTTTATAGGCAGAAATTCAAAGCTCTGGGACCACTAACGATCAACAGCTGGCAGCGATGTCCGAGTGGCTAAGGAGATTGACTCGAAATCAATTGGGCTCTGCCCGCGCAGGTTCGAATCCTGCTCGCTGCGAATCTTTTTGTTCGTAGTGGTTCCGCATTTGCGCGGAAGAATGATGCTCGAAAATCGCTGGCGCAGTATAACTAATTGATGTTTAAAGGTCGTGCAGTTGTTGAGGTGACGAAAAGTCCATATCCATGCTCATCATAGGAAAAGTAAAGCTCAAGGTGTCTGTACTACATGATGTAGTAGCCGGCAGCGATGTCCGAGTGGTTAAGGAGATTGACTCGAAATCAGTTGGGCTCTGCCCGCGCAGGTTCGAATCCTGCTCGCTGCGAATCTTTTGTCTAGAGACATCGTGCCCTTCTTAGCGCACATTCTTAGGTAACTTTGTCGAAACACTTTATAGGCAGAAATTCAAAGCTCTGGGACCACTAACGATCACCAGCTGGCAGCGATGTCCGAGTGGTTAAGGAGATTGACTAGAAATCAATTGGGCTCTGCCCGCGCAGGTTCGAATCCTGCTCGCTGCGAATCTTTTTGTGCGTAGCGGTTCCGCATTTGCGCGTAAGAATGATGCTCGAAAATCGCTGGCGCAGTATAACTAATTGATGTTTAAAGGTCGTGCAGTTGTTGAGGTGACGAAAAGTCCATATCCATGCTCATCATAGGAAAAGTAAAGCTCAAGGTGTCTGTACTACATGATGTAGTAGCCGGCAGCGATGTCCGAGTGGTTAAGGAGATTGACTCGAAATCAGTTGGGCTCTGCCCGCGCAGGTTCGAATCCTGCTCGCTGCGAATCTTTTGTCTAGAGACATCGTGCCCTTCTTAGCGCACATTCTTAGGTAACTTTGTCGAAACACTTTATAGGCAGAAATTCAAAGCTCTGGGACCACTAACGATCACCAGCTGGCAGCGATGTCCGAGTGGTTAAGGAGATTGACTAGAAATCAATTGGGCTCTGCCCGCGCAGGTTCGAATCCTGCTCGCTGCGAATCTTTTTGTGCGTAGCGGTTCCGCATTTGCGCGTAAGAATGATGCTCGAAAATCGCTGGCGCAGTATAACTAATTGATGTTTAAAGGTCGTGCAGTTGTTGAGGTGACGGAAAGTCCATATCCATGCTCATCATAGGAAAAGTAAAGCTCAAAGACTGTCTGTACAGATGATGTAGTAACCGGCAGCGATGTCCGAGTGGTTAAGGAGATTGACTAGAAATCAATTGGGCTCTGCCCGCGCAGGTTTGAATCCTGCTCGCTGCAAATCTTTTGTCTAGAGAACATCGTGCCCTTCTTAGCGCACATTCTTAGGTAGCTTTGTCGAAACACTTTATAGGCAGAAATTCAAAGCTCTGGGACCACTAACGATCAACAGCTGGCAGCGATGTCCGAGTGGCTAAGGAGATTGACTCGAAATCAATTGGGCTCTGTCCGCGCAGGTTCGAATCCTGCTCGCTGCGAATCTTTTTGTTCGTAGTGGTTCCGCATTTGCGCGGAAGAATGATGCTCGAAAATCGCTGGCGCAGTATAACTAATTGATGTTCAAAGGTCGTGCAGTTGTTGAGGTGACGAAAAGTCCATATCCATGCTCATCATAGGAAAAGTAAAGCTCAAGGTGTCTGTACTACATGATGTAGTAGCCGGCAGCGATGTCCGAGTGGTTAAGGAGATTGACTCGAAATCAGTTGGGCTCTGCCCGCGCAGGTTCAAATCCTGCTCGCTGCGAATCTTTTGTCTAGAGACATCGTGCCCTTCTTAGCGCACATTCTTAGGTAACTTTGTCGAAACACTTTATAGGCAGAAATTCAAAGCTCTGGGACCACTAACGATCACCAGCTGGCAGCGATGTCCGAGTGGTTAAGGAGATTGACTAGAAATCAATTGGGCTCTGCCCGCGCAGGTTCGAATCCTGCTCGCTGCGAATCTTTTTGTGCGTAGCGGTTCCGCATTTGCGCGTAAGAATGATGCTCGAAAATCGCTGGCGCAGTATAACTAATTGATGTTTAAAGGTCGTGCAGTTGTTGAGGTGACGGAAAGTCCATATCCATGCTCATCATAGGAAAAGTAAAGCTCAAAGACTGTCTGTACAGATGATGTAGTAGCCGGCAGCGATGTCCGAGTGGTTAAGGAGATTGACTAGAAATCAATTGGGCTCTGCCCGCGCAGGTTTGAATCCTGCTCGCTGCAAATCTTTTGTCTAGAGAACATCGTGCCCTTCTTAGCGCACATTCTTAGGTAGCTTTGTCGAAACACTTTATAGGCAGAAATTCAAAGCTCTGGGACCACTAACGATCAACAGCTGGCAGCGATGTCCGAGTGGCTAAGGAGATTGACTCGAAATCAATTGGGCTCTGTCCGCGCAGGTTCGAATCCTGCTCGCTGCGAATCTTTTTGTTCGTAGTGGTTCCGCATTTGCGCGGAAGAATGATGCTCGAAAATCGCTGGCGCAGTATAACTAATTGATGTTCAAAGGTCGTGCAGTTGTTGAGGTGACGAAAAGTCCATATCCATGCTCATCATAGGAAAAGTAAAGCTCAAGGTGTCTGTACTACATGATGTAGTAGCCGGCAGCGATGTCCGAGTGGTTAAGGAGATTGACT